AATTTTAAGTATAATTTGGATAGAAATAATGTTAACAGTGTCATGAGAAAAAGGTTTGTTTGTTTGTTTTTGAATTTCGCGCAAAGCTATTGGAGGGCTATCTGCGCTAGCTGTCCCTAATTTAGCAGTGTAAAACTAGAGGGAAGGCAGCTATTCATCACCACCCACCGCCAACTCTTGGGCTACTCTTTTACCAACGAATAGTGGGATTGACCGTCACATTATAACGCCAACACGGCTGAAAGGGCGAACATGTTTGGTGTGACGGGGATTCAAACCCGCGACCCTCATATTGCTAGTCGAGCGCCATAACCACCTGGCCATGCCGGGCCTTGAGAAAAAGGGATCTTGGTGTAGTAGTTGATCAGTCTCTTAAGCCATCTAAACAGTGTGCTATTGCTATTGAATACAAGTCTAAAGAGGTTATAATATCCTTGTATAAGTCACTGGTTAGGACATATTTGGAGTATTGTGTTCAGTCTTGGGCTCCTTACCTTAGGAAGGACATTGAATTGTTGGAAAGGGTTCAGAAGAGAGTTACTAGAATGATGCCTGGGATGAAGGGGTTGTCAAACAACGAGAGGTTAAGATCTCTCAGATTGTTTTCACTTGAAAAAAGAAGAATTAGAAGGGACCTGATTGAGGTGTTTAAAATTGCTTTTTTTCATACTTAACGGCGAGAATAGTAGGACACTAGGGGACATAAATATAAATTTTGACCAAGTACGAGTCATCTTCAGCTAAGACAGTTTTATTTTTCTAACCGGGGATTTAGCCCTGGAATGGGTTGTCTTCGGATGTTGTGAGGTAGTAAATTTAAGTAAGCTGAAGAGAAAGCTTGATAAATATATGATTGATAAGGGCTGGCTTTAGGATGTTTATAAATTTACTTATCTAATAGTTTTAGTTTACGTTAGAGGATGGGACAGACGAGACGGACCAATAAGTCCCTTGTTGTCCCTAAATATTGTTATGTTATCTTCACTATACTTTGGTAGACATTTTGTACAATAACATATTAAAAACTTATCAACGTTTTTACAAATATCTAACTTAAGGTAGCAGAATAATATTATAAGTATATTTACCGATAATATTAAATAGAGTAAAGTTATGCCCTAACTAAACTAAAGCAATAAAAGTACACAAGTTACAGTGTTAATTTATCTCTTTATTGAATATAAGCCGTTCGTAATAAAGGATTAACTAATATTAGGCCTAGATTTCGGTGTCTACGGTTAGAATTATTCTAGAAATTCAGTATTTAAAGAAGTGTTTTTTTTCCAATAAAGATACTAATTAAACTGCAAATGTTTGGCGAGTCTCTGCTAGTTAATAATAAACCACAATGTACTAGTTTACTACTCCGAAAATCAGCATTTTATTTTATTTTTCTTGAGGGAAAATATAGTGTTTGATCTCCATTTTATCTCAATACCATATCTTGTTTCTTTCGTTCCACTAACAGCAGAGCACTACACTTGTCCTTATTAACTAGCTTCTCGAATCTATAGTTGTTGTGGAGATCAAGTAACTGTGTGTTAAGTTTAACGTTGAACAACTACAATTAAGGAAATTTATCGGAGATGTCAAACCAAAATTACTTTTGATAGTGAGATATATGGGAAGTGAAAAATGCTTGGAATAACAGCTTAGAAAAATACGTTATATACTATAGCTGCTATCGAATTAGGCTACTAATCCTTCACACTTAATAATCATTCAGTGAATCATAATCATTAGATGCATAACAAAAACATTCAATATATCATCAGGGAGTATGATAATCAGAGAAATTAGAGTTTACTGTAACACAAACAGTCTAACCTACCGAATCTTTGCTTAAAAATCGACTAAAAAGTAGCTAGCTATCTTTAGTTATCTGAGCATGTTTGTTTCTAATAATGGCCTTCCTTCATTAGTGAGTCGTGGATTGTTTTTACTATGTTGTGAGTTAATAACATGAGTTTTAAGACAGATATAAAACACTAATACGGAGGAACAAGAACGACCACGTCAAAGGCCGAGCCATAGGCTGAGTTAACAGGTTAAGTTGCAATTCGTTTAAAACATAAATCAAAAAGAAGAAAAAGAAAGGCTCTACCTCAAGTAAAATCTGTGGTTATGTCAATAGGATATGAGGAAATTTAAATCTTTGTCTTTAATACCACAAAGCCACACTATGGGCGAGCCCGGCTATGTCCGCCGCGAATACTAAGCCTCGCACTCTAGCGTTTTTAAGCTCTGATGTTTGTTATACCGCTGAGACACTAGATAGCAGGCAATTTAACTTAAGATATGAATGAAAGAGGCCAAAAATTCTGGGCGAATGCAACATGTCTTTGCCACGCAATCCCAACATGGCCAATTTTGACACCGGAAAAATCGTGAAAAACACAGAAAAATTAAAAACTGTCTATATCACTTAAATCACTGCTTGGGACCTGCAAGAAATATATCTTTGTATCAAATCCCATGTAAGTAGTTTGACATGCACATGAAAACCCCAAATTGTATAATCCTCGCTGAAAAATTGAACAAAAGACAAAAATTTCAAAATTGTCTATATCTTTGTTTATGACCTGCAAAGAGTATC